CTCTCTGTTGTTTAATCATGGGCTATACCATTGGTTTATGGTGATTTCGCAATCGATTATCCTCTTTATCAGAATCCAGCATTTGCTTTCTGATTTCCAGGTATCATCATTCCATTTCCACCTCTGTTCATTTTCGATTTCAATACCTAACTTGTTGGTCTTGTCGGATTTTGAAGCATTCGAATATGCTTTACAACTTTTGTAATCATAAATTTGATTCATACCTGATTGATTGAAATTAAATACTGTTTCGATTACTAGATTGTCTACGAACTACGGATCATTCGTTATTCAAATTGTGATTCCTTTTGTTAATTTGTAGGCGGATCATATGTTGAAACAGTCGGCGAGTAGGAATCAAAGGGCAAAAGGATTCAAAGTGAAACATGCAGTTCAGATAAGTGTTTTGCTTCTGGTTTGCGTATGGTTAATTTACCAATTGAAGCAGACTTACATGAACAATAATCCAGCAATCCAAGTCTCGGTGATTGGGAGGAAAGGGTTGATTGATTCGCAAGTGAAAGAAGGGAATGACGAAGAACAAGATGTAGAAAAAGTAGATGAAGAAGAACCTGATCAGTTAGAAGATCTGATTGATGAAGACGATAAAGATGAAAGAATTGGCAAAGTTATTTGATAACAGCCAACAGGTATAGTGATGATCATTCATGTCAATTGTCAAATGTAGGAGAATGCTTTATAGTTTATACATAGTAACTATGGTGTATAATGTAAGTTGATATATATTCATGAAAGGAGAAGTCCCAATAAAAATTTCTAGTGTGTGAATATCAATGAATTGTCGAAAAGAAAGAATGAGAAATAATTTTATAAAAAAATAGTTACCATTATTTTGCTTTTGCGATAGTTTGAATGAACTTAACGCTCGATTACAATCACACATTTTTTTATTCGATTCCAACACAACATCATTCTTTATAATCCAAACAATTTCTCTTTTCATTAATCTCGAAGCTACCCAACTACATCTTAAAGAATTACCAAGTGTTAATGTTAGTTGAATACATAAATTAAGAATAATAAATAGTTTTGTATCATTTCGTTAGCGAATAACTACAACAAAAGTTATTATTTTAACAATCTGTTTAATATATTATGGCGATTCACACTTTAACCATTTTACTCCTCTAAACATAGTCAAAAATCAATAAATCCTTAGAAAAGTCATAATGTTATGAAAAAAAAAAATAACAAAAAATCCCAAAAAAATTTTGAATAAAAAATCCGAAAAACCAGCTAACTTATTCACTTTAACCATTTTAACATTTTCAGCAAATAACGTGACATAAGTTGAAACTAGCTCATTTGACTAACAATGTGTCTAACAAGAAGGTCATGAATTCTATCTCACACATATATTAAACCATCGTTCTAAAAATAAAAATAAAATAAAATAAAACTAAAAAAACAAAAACAAAATAAAACAAGTAATCTACTTATATGACGCACCTACGTGGACATTTTGTTGTCGACGTGGGATATCACATCAACCTATTGGAATCAAACTCATGACATTCCACTCATAACTCATGCCACATACCATTAGCCTACACACATCTTGTTGTCTACCTTTTTAAATCATTTTATTAATGTCTAAAATTAGAGGTGAAAAAAAGACCGATCCGAATCCGATCTGATTTGATGACGTCAAATGCAATCCGGTTTCACCTAAAATCTGATTTGGTTTCAGACCGGTTTTTCCTTTGTTAGAGCCGAATTAGTTTAATCTGATCCGAAATTTGATTTTTTTTAAACATTTTTTAACACTCAAATATAACACAAAATGCAACATAGATTCATTAGAATACTTAAAACATACATCAAATGTCGAAATAGAAAGAGTTTTGATGATAATATCAAACTAGTTAAATAATAATAATAATAAAGTGGCGTAATAACATTTTGCCAAACAATCTTCAATTTTTGTGGCCTTCCATTTCGTGTCGCTTTCACTAAATTGTTCTTCAACCGTCAAGCAAATGCATATGGGACTCATCAATACCCTCTTCTTCATGTTTGTCTTCGTCTTCATCGTCATTGTCTTCGTTTTGTTCCAGAGATGTTCCTAAGCCTAGTTCATATTCTTGTTCCATTATCTCCGGTTCAACATTCTCCGGTAGTGGGCCCTCTAGTGATGGTGAAGTGTTGTTTACGTTCTACCGAATCCAAGTAATCTTTCAAGCAAAAGCTAACCGCCACCGCAATCGGGGTAAGATTCATTCGCAACTTTGATAAAACTCTAGCACTAAAAGAAAAAGCGGATTCCGAAGCTACTGTGGAAGTTTAGACGGTTAGTAAATCGCGGACCATAACGGAGAGAATAAGGAATCATGTTTCCTTTTCTCTCCACCAAGCCAAAAGATCCAAAATTTTAAATTGTGGTGCACTCATGAATTTTAAAAAGTTTAAGCTCATATAAATTTCAAGTTCGCTAGCAGGGGTTAATAGGCATGTTCGTTTGTTTTGTTCCTCCAAAAGGTAGTTATAGAGGTCGATATGAAAATATGTTCAACCTCCACTTCTACCCGATGCACCATTAGTAGCGTCGGATACATCGATAAAAGTGTGTGGCATTTCGCCATATTTTCTAGCGTAAATATCAAATAAATTGTTGGAATCCTAAATCGAGTAGGACTTGGAGACGAAGTAAACTTGGGACTTTGACAGGTTGGTTATAGAGTCCTAATACAATTTTATTTACAAGTTGGTAAAATAGAATCTATATATATATATATATATATATATATATATATATATATATATATATATATATATATATATATTGTAACAACGTAAATTTTCAAAACAAATTTTTCATTTTTGCAAACATCAATACCGTCGTTTAATATTCTGAAACCAAATGTGTAACAATATCATCATAACAAAATACATCCCATAATCATAAAAACAGTTCCTTCGTCAGTGTGTACAAATCACGTTGGCGCCTTCCCACGGTCCTCGCTAGTACCTGAAACACATAACACAACAGCTGTAAGCATAAATGCTTAGTGAGTTCCCCAAAATACTACTTACGCACATACGCCTTTCCAGGCCCTGACCTTCCGGTCCATGTGTCTCAGGGGACTTCCGTCCCGACTCGGTAAACCTTCTGGTCCTATCTGCGTCAACCTTACGGTCAACATCACAACGCCTTCCGGCCCATATCATATATGTCTTCCGGCCCATAACATAATGCCTTCCGGCCCATATCAAACATACATACATAGCACATACAAACGATTAACTTATCATATACACCACATACAACTCATAACATATCCGACCTTCTGGTCACACAATAAAAACCCTTCCGGGTACAATATAGTGAGAAAACTCACCTCGTGGAAAGTCTAAAATCTCGCGCACTCGCTATCTCCAAATCCCAACGAAGACTCAACCTCGCCTAATCACAACGAATATTAATTTAATTAATATAGACTTCCACAACTAGACTTTACCCCTTATCATCATTCCTCAGAGGGTAAAAGACCATTTTACCCTTCCTTGACTCAAAGTCCACATGTTGACCAAAACCCTAAAAGTCAACAAAAGTCCACATTATAGTACGCGGGGCGTACATCGCCAACCCACAAATCGGGGTCTCCACCCAGTACGCTGCGCGTACTGGGAGTTACGCCCAGTGTAACCTTCAGTTCAATACACTCTTCATTTCTGGTCTTAATCGATTAAGCCATTACTTTAACTTCTAGATCCGGATTTATTTAAGCATCTATACCAATAAAGTCGAAACCTTTAAGCCTTGGCATGGCTGTAAAGGCTCCTACACTCCTTAACATTTTTCTATTCCAACTCAAGGATCTAGATCTCATGCATGGTGAAACATTCACGTCCAAGATTACATTTTTATGAGTCTACAACTCAAATAGACCAGAAATATGATGGATCTAAGCTTATGGAGACCATTTGCTCATAAAGTCTCCACCTTTGGGACCAAAACCCTAGAAAATGGTACTTAAAGCATAAACACAAGAACTATATGTCAAGATCCGAACTTTTTAACTTAGAATGAAGCTTCAACCTTTGCAAAGCTCGAATCCACACTTGAACACCAACTTCTAGCCTTCCCAATGAACTCTTCTTCTCCTTTGCTACCTTGAAATGGCACCACCAAGCTTAGAACACTCACAAATGGGCTAAGAACGAATAAACACTCTCTTTAGGGTTTCTTTCTGAGGGATGGCGGCTGAGGAGTCGATTCACACATTCCTTTTATAGCCATCTGAAATAATTAGGGTTTTTAGGTCTGGACCGGTTACGCCCAGCGTACCCGAGGGTGAGCGCGTTCAAATGAAGCGCGCGAGTACGCGCAACGTACTGTACGCCCAACGTACTCGCCTAACATGCAAAACCCTAAATGGCAACAAATCAAAGATGAAGGGCTAAATAGAAGGGTACTTGGATTTCGGGCTGTTACACACACACACACACATATATATATATATATATATATGTATATATAAACATCCTTTTATTCTGGTGCGGTCTAAAGAGCGTTTATAGGGGTAAGACACCTTTTTTAATAAAAATAAGTTTTCCTTTTTCGTGTTTCTTGGGGATGCTTCATAGGTTGTGTACGGGAGTAGGGTGATTCTTATTATAGATGCTCGATATCGTTTATGTATGTGTGGTTATCTTACCAGGTCGGGCTCGTTGGCTGGCTTGGTATTATGTGGGTTGCTGCCCATACACCATTAATCCCCCAGCCTAATTATTATAAAGTGCAGCAGGTTTATAATAATTGGTCTTAAATGGTTGTTGTTTTTTCCAGTTTGAATAACAATGATCAGTACGTGTTGTCTTTCCCATGCGCCTAGATCCTCGTGAAGGCCTATAGGAACTTCAGCATTTTTGTAGCAGTTGGCTTTCCCGTTTCTCCTTTCATAAATGCTAGTCACATGTTTGACAGTAAGGAGGATGGTAAGGAGGACAACCACCAAGACTGTAACGAGGATGGCCACCAGGATGGTAAGGGTCTGATTGGAAAAAGTGGTAACGTCCAATTACATGACAAAACCGTCCAGGATGGTGACGAATGTTTCTGAGGACGACGAAACTCCACTCTTCACTAGAAAAACTTTTATCTTCCATGTCTTCCACTCCAACTTCTGTAAGCTTGTTTTTAACGTTTTTTTACATCGTTTTTCCTCATTTTTTTTTATCTTGAATCACATAATACAAATACCATCAAAGTAGGTCCATTCTTAACATAAATTAATCCAATTATACTTATAAAAACAATGAATAAAGCATCTAAATTTGACAGATCACTAGCTTTATGCTGAAGGCCATTATTTGCATGTGTGGACTAGAATAGTCTTTTGTATGATTGGTTGTTAGTTTATATGGTTTGGTTATATGTATATATGAAGATTTGATGGCGAAAAAGTAACAGGATGTGAGTTTAGAGACTCATGTTGACAATAGAACAACGATATGTCGTGAGTCCAAATACACACGTTATTGGTAGGATGGCGAAAGGTCATGAACCACTGTTTGTATGCATAAAATCATAATATATGTATTGTGATATATAGTATTTTGGTAAATTCACTAAGTCTTAGCTTACAATAATTGATTAACTATTTTGCAGTTGCT